GCGCGATGATTGAGAGTGGGCGGGGATTCGTGGCGATCGATTGGGGTGGAACCGCGGTGGTGGGTGTGTATGTTCCTCCGAGCTGGCCCCTCGCGTCATTCGAGGTTTTCCTGGACGAGGTCAGGCGGTGCGTTTCGTGCTGCCTGTCTCGTCCTGTCATTATTCTGGAGGATTTCTACTCCATGGCTACGGCCTAAGGGTCCTCCAGGGCAGACGCGAGGGGCGAGACTTTGCTGGATTGGTCGGCTAGACTGGAGCTCCGTTTGCTAAACACGGGCTCCGTCCATACGTGCGTGCGGCACAATGGGGGGTCCATAGTGGACCTCACATTTGCGACTACTGCTGCTGCGCGCCGTATCTCGGGGTGCAGGGTGGCGGAGGAGGTAGAAACCTTGTCGGACCATCGGTACATAATGATGGTCCTCTCCGCTGCTCCTCCTGGTGCGCCGCCCCGAGGCCGCACAGAGGATAGAGCGGCCCCACCGCCGCGGTGGTCACTAAAGCGTTTGGACAAGGACGCCCTGATGGCCGCTCGCCGCGCATTAACTTTAATATGCAATGCGGCGATGCCACGAGCGTGCCCCTTGCGGAGGAAAACGGTGTACTGGTGGTTGCCCGAGATCGCAGATTTTTTATGCGATTGCATTCGGGCGTGCCGCCGGTACACCCGAGGCCGTCGAGGCCGTCGACGCAGGAATGATCCGACGTGGGTGGCTGAGCTGTATGCGCTATACAGGGAGAGAGTTGTTGCGCTGCAGCGGGCCATCAAAAGGGCCATGGTCGAGGCTTGGCAGAAGCTCCTCCAAACGTTGGAAGATGATACGTGGGGGCGTCCGTACAAGATTGTACTAGATCACCTACGACCATGGGCGCCCCCCGTGACGGCAAGTCTGGGCCCCTGGTTCCTCGGTAGCGTGGTTGAAACCCTCTTCCCCCTTTCCGAGGTCACGAAGGGCCACGCGGCTGAGGTGTCGGACCGTGTTAATTGGTCCGACGAGCTGTGGGCTACAGATGAGGAGCTCGCTGCCGCATTGAAGAGGCTCGGGGCGAAGAACACCGCCCCGGGGCCGGACGACGTGCTAGGTAAGGCCTTGGTCTTGGCCTCGGGCCACGCTCCTCCAGCTAAGGGTTGCAGGCCGGAGGCACCTTACTTCCGTAGTGAGACCGCCGGCCTTTCGGGCAGTTTCATCGGAGTGATGCCCAATTGGACGCTAACCGATTGGACGCGTCCCAATTGGACGTTTTCGAAACGGTGCCGAGTGGACCCGTTCCAATTCAAAGCAGAGCCTATCTGAACTTTTTTTTTTCACGAGGGGAAATCTTCATAGACTCCCCCACTCTCCGGGGGAGGAGCGGGGGGAGTGTGAGATTCTTACTCACTAAAACCACTCGGTGATGCCCACCCTCTACGGCTTTGACGGGTGATGGGACCCGACGTGTAAACCGCGCCATCAACCGCCAGCCGATTTGCGCTATTGGCGCCCAACTCGGGTGGGAGGTGAGCCCTTCCACCGAAAGAATTACACCCAACTCCCTATTTCCGAGCCGACGACGTCATCACGCCCGCCGTCGACTCGACCCCGCGGCCGCGTGCAATGGAGTCATGGGCCCCCGCCCATGACCCCTGCGGCCATGACCCACCCCGAGATAAGTACATCCGGAAAACCCACCCCAGAGCGGTCATACCCCATAATCTGGAGGGCGGCTAATCGGCGCCGAAGAAGTCGACGCCGCCCCGCAGCTCCACCACTCGCGACTTAATTCTATACATACACACCCATCCCACGCACACACCCACCCATACATACGCATTCACTCAATCACTCATTCTCACGCGGGCGATGCGGAGAAGCCGCGCCGTCCCACTACACTCAGGAGGGCGCCCGGGAAACCGGGTCCGGATTCCCCGGTCGCCTTCTCCTTCTCAACACTCTGCTGTCAGTCACTCCAGCACGACGCTGTCTCTCGCGCTCCGCCGCCTCCTTCCGGGACATAACCGTCTCACTGAAGGAGACGACGGCCTTCCACTCGTTCTCACTATGTAACATTCTCTCAACCAGCACATTCACGCTTACATTCACACCGACCTCGCACTCCAAATAGTGCCGAGGCCATGCCCACGCCGGGCACTCCTCGACGGTGTGTTCCACCGTATCCGGCCCTACACCACAATGGTGGCAGCCCGGTGACCGCTCCCTGCCGATCCGGCACAGGTACTGGGCAAAACACCCATGCCCAGTCAGCACCTGTGTGAGCCGGAACGAGAGCCGCCCGTGGCCGCGATCCATCCACTGACATAACCGTCTCACTGAAGGGGACGACGGCCTTCCACTCATCATCACTATGAAAAATCCCGGTGGCAGCGGGGCGCACAGAGCGGGGTCGTACCCCACGAGCCGCAGGAACGGCCCGAGAGCCGAACCCTGGGGCACGCCCCGCTCAACCCCCCAAGTCCTCAAAGCGCCCGACCGATCGGTGCAGTGAATCGACATCTCCTGGAGATAGTCCCCGATTATACTAACTTAACACTGGAGGCACATTTAGCCTCTCTAAATCATCCAATATCGCTCGGTGAGGCAGGGTGTTGAAGGCGTTCACGATGTCAAGAGATATCGCGATCGCCACCCCGCCCCTGGACGTAACCGATTGCGCGATGGCGCGGACTCTATTGACCACTGCATGCACTGTATTTCTACCGCGTCTAAACCCGAATTGGCAGTCGGCCACGTCCGGATCATCTCCGGAGAGGTGCCCTACTAACCGTGACGCTGTGATGCGCTCAAATATTTTCCCGATAACATCAAGCAGCGCGATCGGCCGGTACGCTGAAGGATCACCGTCCTTCTTACCTCCTTTCTTTAGGAGGACCAGTCGCCCCGATTTCCATATAGATGGAAATTTGACTACCCGCAGGCAGGCGCTAAGGAGGCTCAACACTCTATTCCCCAAGAATGGGAGCACCAAAGACCAGACCCGGCCCGGTATGCCGTCAGGACCCGGAGCCGTAATCCGGGCACTAACCCGCCTGACGGCATCAACGAGCTCCCCCGGTGGGCTCGGTTCACAGAAGGTGGGCCGACGACCCAGAGCGCACCGGGGGATTACTATCACCCGGAAAAAGACACCCC